GAGGTGACAGAGATAGGGAGGGTGTAGGAGTTGGAGGAGGTGACAGAAATAGGGACGGTGTAGGAGTTGGAGGAGGTGACAGAGATAGGGAGGGGTGTACGAGCTGGAGGAGGTGGCAGAGATAGGGAGGGTGTAGGAGCTGGAGGAGGTGACGATAGGGAGGGGTGTAGCAGCAGGAGGAGGTGACAGAGATAGGGAGGGCTGTAGGAAGTAGCAGAGATAGGGAGGGGTGTAGGAGCTGGAGGAAGTGGCAGAGATAGGGAGGGGGTGTAGGGGCTGGAGGGGGTGACAGAGATAGGGAGGTTAAGACTAGACTGTCACTTCTCCTCATTCACCACCATGTGGCAGCAAATTACAGCAAAGATGTGAAAAAGCTGCGAATCAGGAAGGTGCAGCTCATATTCCCCAATGGAGGAGAGCCTGATCTTGGAAGAGCATGTGACATAGGATCAAAAGAAGGCCATTCAGTCCATTGAGAGTGCTCCACCATTCAGCAAGATCATGGCTGATTTAATAATTTTTAAGTCCACTTTGCTGCCACTTCCCCTTGTCCTTTGATTCAGTTACTGATTAAAAATCTGCTTATCTCAACCTTGAATATACTTAATGACCTAGCCTTGTCAGCCCTCTGTGGTAAATAATTCCACAGATTCTCTCCCCTCTGAGAGAAGAAGTTCCTCCTCATCTCTGTCTTCAGTGGGTGGATGCTTATTCTGCGATGACTCCCTCTGGTCCTGGACTCTCCCACAAGGGGATACAACCTCTCTCCATGTCCCCTGTCAAATTCTGTAAGAACCTTATATATTTCAAAAAGATCACCTCTCATTCTTGTAAACCCCGATGAGTACAGGCCCAATCTACTCAACCCCTCTAAGACAATCACTGCATACCTGGGCTCAGTCTCCAATACCAGTGTATCTTTTAGTGTAAGTTTCAGTTGTTAATTTTATATCTGAGATACAGGAATTTTTGTTAAGTGAAGGTATTAAGGGGTATGGGCCAAAGGCAGGTGTATGGCATTAGGCCACAGATCAGACATGATCTCATTAAATGGCGGAACAGTCTTGAGGGGGGAATGGTCTATATTCCTATAAGGGGACCACAGCTGTAGTCTGACTTGTTCCCTGTGTACTTTTAGCGAGATCTCCCTACTTTTATACTCCATTCCTTTTAAAACAAAGGTCAGCTTTCCATTGCCTTCCTGCTGTATTTGGATTCTAGTTTTTTGTGATTTATGCACGAGAATCCACAGATCCCTCCATTCTGTCGATTTCTCCAGTCACTTTCACTTTCCCTATTCATGTCATTAATATATTGTCAGTAGTGGTGGCCCTGCACTGATCCCACTCATTACAAGGTCACAAAAATACAAGAAAGTGACAGAGGGTCACCAGATTGGAAACATTAACTCAGTCTGTCTCACAACAGTTGCTGCCAAACCTTTCTGTTTTTGATAACGTGCTCTGGGCTGTCCTGAGGTCAGCTATGAAAATGCAACTAATTAATTTTTTTGGACCTCTTCTGTTCTCTTGACTCTGACTCGGGCACTTTGTCCCATTGGTTAACATAGGAAGTGCACCAGAACTGTACTCTGTATATTGAAGGTAACACCTCACTGTTCCAATCTTGGTTCACTTGACCCCCATGCTCAGACACTGAGATTATAAGGGGAGACCACAGACAGTGCAAATTCTTTTCAATCTGCCTTCCCCTGACATGGGCACATGAAACACACACCGGCAGTTTGAGACAAATTTAATACAAAACAAATGCTTCCTGGGCCAAAGCAGATGTTAAAATTATCGCACAGCAATTTGTTAACAGACAAAACCATTAGTTACCTTTCGAACCAGAGCAGGGTCCAATTTCTCCCCCACCCCCAGGGGCTCAGAGTATGTTTGACACATTTAAACAGCCCATCGTTGATCTGAAACATTTGGGCTAAGGTGTGGGTTTAAATCAGTGAAACATGATAGTCTGTGTTGTTAGAAAAATAACAATAACACATAGGTACACGCTCTGCAATGATTGTTCAACTTCATTTATTCAGGCAGCTACCACACACACAGCAATAGGAATCAAATATCCCTCTGAACAATGTGATCACTTTGTCAGCCTGTGGTCAGTGACACCTCAGAGAGAGAAGCAAACTGAGGGGAAGTTATTAACAAATACCATGCTTCGTTTATTCTCAGATTGTTACAGGTCTTGAACTCCAATTACATTTTGTTCACATTGTCCAGGTAATTGACAGTGAGGGAGAAGTCTTAGGTTACAGCAAGAAGGACAATAATTGGTCAGATGGGCAGATCAGTGGCAGGTGGAATTTAACCCTGATAAATGTGAGGTGATGCACTTTGGTAGAAGGAACAAGACAAGGGAGCAATCAATGATTGGCAAGACACTAGGAAGCTCGGAGGAATGAAGGGATCTTGGGGAACTTGTCCACAGGTCCCTGAAGGTGGCAGGACAGGTTAATAGGGTAGAGATAGTAGGAACTGCAGATGCTGGAGAATCCGAGACAACAAGTTGCAGGGCTGGATGAACACAGCAGGCCAAGCAGCATCATAGGAGCAGAAAGGCTGACGTTTCGGGCCTAGACCCTTCATCAGAAA